CTTCTTATCAATTTTTTTTTCCATTTTATGGCAAACCTCTACCCTTCGAAGAGTAAGCTACTCCAATACTCCAGTATTGATTATTCCTTCATTCTCAAGCTCCATGCTGTCTTCTGTAAGGGCATTTATATGATTATACGCATATCCGCCATACATGTTCTCAAGGTCCACCAAATGAATTACCGCGCCGTTGTTGCCTTTCTTTCTTAAATCCAAGTCATATTCTTCCTTGAAAAACAGACTCAACGCATCGCTGGTATCAATTTCCTCCGCTGAAGAGTGCCCTGTGTACTTCTGAAATTCGCGCCAATCTTTGTAATCCCAAAACCCCTTTTTCCCTTTGTCTAAGGTTGAGAAGATTAGCGAAACCAAGGCCAAATCGTCGTTGTTAAGCAGGATACGAAATCCCTCGTATTTCGTCAGTCGGAATAAATCACGGCAAAAACGACAATACGATTCGTTCGTCTCGGTGTCGAACTCCAAATCGTCGATCCCGCGGCAATGTGCACATACTTGGAGAACGACCACGTCATCGTCGTCGTCGTCGTTGATGATATTATCGTTTAAATGTTTAGTGGTGGTCATTGTAGCATAAAATATACCTACTTGTTTCAAAAACTCCACAATTTTTTTTAAATATAAAGTACAAATTTATAGTAAAATAAAAATATAAATATAAATAATAATAATAGTGATAAGGGGTAGTTCTATTTCAGAGCTAACTGGAGAACGTACACAATGTTATAAATTATTTTCTAACAAACCTGAAGAATAATGTGTTGACCTGAAAAAGAAGAGAAGATAAAAAAAAAGATGGAATCTAAAGAGAATTTTACGATCCTAAATGAGATTAGCAATTCGAGCATGAACCTGATAGAACAACACACCACAAAAGGCATCCCACCTAAATTCATTAACGGAATGATTTATTTTGAAGTGATTCCGCCTCTCCTTTGAGTCCCAATGGGGAGGGAGAAAAGAAAAAACTCGCTTATTCGGGAACAACATAAACCACATTATACTGCGAAACAATATCATAAATGCGCTGGACCTCTTCATATTTCGGGCGGTGGGTGGTGATCGGCACCCGCTGAACCCGCGGATCCGAAGTGCGGATCGGCGAAGGCCGCCCCACGCCGTTCGAGGGCGGCGGAAGGGAGGAGAAATCGGTCAACATCGCGAGATTTTGCGGCCCCGGGGCGGCGTGTAGAATGAAGGCGGCTCGATCGATATAAGGCTGCCAGTCCCAGATGATTTGTCGCACCTCCCGCCGCCACTCCAGCTCCTGCGCGGCGCGAATCATCGACCCCGCGCTGTGATAGCTCCCGCCGCCGTCCTTCGCGTTTGAGGATTGCTTTCCGCCCTGCTTTTTGCGCACCACGTAGCGTTGGAAGGCCTTGTGAAGGACGCACCGCCCCTCGTCAAAGACCCCGCCGGCGAAGTAGCCCCCGTGGCAGAGCAAAATCACCCACGTCAGGAAAGGAAAGCGCGGAAGACGGGCCGCCAACAGCGGCGAGACGTTTCGAGGGAAATGCCGGTCCGCGTCGTCCTTCGCCCGGGCGATTTCGGCCGCCGCGTAGTCCTTCTGCAGGCGGGAGGCCAACGAAGAGAGGCCGCTCGCGTCATCGCGGCGGGCCTCCCCCTCCGCGCCGCTCGGCGGGGCCGAAATCGCGTCTGGCGGGTCCCCCGGCGGCGATTCGGCGTCGTCCTCGGCCGCCGGGAAGGGGGGCAGTTCCAAAGTCCCCGGCCGGGCGGGTTTTCCTTCGCTCAGGGCCCGCAGCACGGCGCGGAAGCACTCGATCCGGCACCCGCACGCGCGGCCGTCGTAGTCCATCGCCCCCGCGTAATACACCGCGGCGAGGGCGGAATGGGGCAGGGGCTCGCAATAGTCGAAGCCCCACGCGCGCCGCGGCATCCCTTCCGCGCGGGAATTATCCCGCCGCGCGATCTCGATGAACCGGCGCGGGGGATTATCGGCATCGGAAGACCCCTCGCCCG